CTTAAGCCTATAGTTGGAAGTGGTTTAATTTATTTCAAAGTAAAATGTAGTGAAGGGTGCCAAGATTCCCTAGTAAAAAGCCAAAATGCCAGCAGAGGCCTCAGGATTACAAAACTGGAGGAAACACTTTTGAATACAGAGCATACCTGCATATGAGGAATAGATAAGAAAGTGCTATGTTGACTGAGGAGACAAGATCCTGCCATCCTAAACCAGACCGAATAACTGCTACTAAAAGAATCACCTCACCGAAGAGAATGACTTCCTTCTACTCTGAAGGCAAAAGTGCTGTGATCAAATGTGAAAATTGCGGTAGTTCCCTCTGATTAAATCTTTATGCCCCCCAAAATTTGCACCTGATAGCCCTCAGCCAACTGAGTTGCCCTCCCAGATTATCACTGAGGTGGCTGATGAGTGCATGTCATCAAACTGTGTATCAAAAACTCAAGGAGAGTAAACATTCAAATTGTTCTGGGAATCAGCTTCAAAAAGCGTGTAAAACTGATTTTCTTGGAACAGACTACGAACGTGCTTAAGACCCCTGATTCAGGAAAAGCCTTAAACATGTGTTAATATCCATCCTTTCTAAGATATGTCATAAACACGCACAAGTCTCAACGATGAGCACGTTTAGTGTCTTTGCCAGGTTGTGGGGCCGCAGTTGGAGATCCAAGGCTTGGAGCTGATCCCTGAGGGGCAGCGGGGCTGGCACAGACCCAGGTACCAAGGATGCAGCAGGCTCCTTGTCCTGCACACTGCCGACATTTCTTCTCCCCCTGGCACTCTCCTGGGCTGAACTGGGGCACCTCTTCCCATGGGGCTGGGAGGAAGACGCAGGCGCTTCCCTCTTCAGCAACTGCCGCAGTGCAAAGACAGAGAGGGAAAACATCCCCGCAGTGAGCTGGGCCTGATACCCTGGCATGGCTGTGGTTGCTTTCCTGTTAAATCCTCATTAACTTGCCTTAAAAGTTCAGCCCAGGCAAGCGTGTGATACACAAGGACTCCTCAAGGCAGCTCAGGTAAAACTACTTGCTTTCTAACCACTGCTTTTAATGCCTTATTTTAAAAGTCTATTAGCTTAGCACATAAAGCACATCTTTCAGTACAGGAAATTGAGTCAGAGTTGAATTAGAGAACGCCTGAAAACATAGGTTGCTCATTACTGTTTTTCCTTCAAATCAAGAGTGGGATATTAGTGGTACCACGAATATTCCTGAGTGATGCATTTTAAGCTAGATACTGTGAAATATTTAAACATAAAGGACCAGATTCTTCTTTACGTGAAGGCCTCAAAATAGTATTTAAATCCAGTTTAATTTTCAAAGTATTAATCTAGTCCTGTCTGATCTTGCAAAAGATGGTTTAGCGCATTTAGTAAAAATTGTTTACATGATAACAGATCAAGTGTCATCATCATTCTGGTAGCTATTAAAATATAGTTAATAATTCCAGTTCCAGCACTCAGCTATAAGAGTTGTTTTCCATTTCAGTGAACTTTCTGCTATGGAGAGGAAAGAAATGGTTTCTCCACATGACTGACCATCAGGTGTTTCTGAGCATGAAAGCTGGCTTGTAAATGTTCAGTGTTTACCATTGCTTGTCTCTGTCAGGAGTATTTTCCGACAAGCAAATAACCAGCCATCCATGAGCACTCTTTAAGGAGCACCACCTTAAAACATTCTTTGGCAGTCCTCTCTGCAATCTATCTCGGTGTGTGCACATATTAGCTTCATTTCTGGAGGCTATGTAATTTTTTTGGTGTTACACAGCTATTTGAGTAAGAAAATGAGGGTGGGCAAACCACAGTCCACCACCTAACATGACTCCACTGCAAGAAGTTTTAAGGACACAGAAGGAGACCTGGTCTGATGTGTGGCCCCCACTTTTTTGGGAGGGGGGAATTGGTTTCTGTATGTGTGTGAAAAGTGCTCAGCGATAAAAGGAAGGAAATGAAGAGGTATCTGCGGATCACAGATGGGCTCTTCCGCCCTTCTCCCTGCTTGAATTCAGCTCTGAAGAAAATCTTTACGAACTTGGCAGAGTATCAGTGGTAGCTTTTGGACTGGATGTTGACGTGCAACAAGGATTTTTCTGAATTAGTCTTTACAGCTAATAGCTGATTTTTGTGTGTTATTTTGTTTTAGTGGTGCTCACTGTTTAAACAAGTGAGGATGTTTAAACTAGCGAATTTTAAACACGCGAGCATATCCTCGTGCTTCAGGGTAAGCTGAGCTGTGCTGTAGACTTCACAGACTGCATATGGCGCCTGCGGGGACTCACTCAGATATTTATGTTGTAGGGCCTACCCGTACTCAGCTGGTCCCCTCCCTTTTGTATATAAGCAACTTTAGCTGCACATCACAGGAAACAAAACGACTGCGTTACACAGCAGAACTTAAACCATTAAAAAATCCGATTTTGTGCCTGGTGTCTCAGGAAGGCCCTTCAGCTGACGATGTCTCCATTTGAAATGGTTAGTGGCTACGCTGCTTTTACCCTTACCCAGCAGAGCGGGGCAGGCCAAGGGCTTCCCCCAGCCCTTCCTGCAGCTGCCCAGCGCTCTGCTTTCTGCACGTGGCGGCACCGCTGCACGACCCAGCTTACAAAGTCACCCCCCTCTCCCTGTCCGGGGCCACACATCCTCCCTGCTGCCATTGCGCCCACGCAGGAGTATGTGCAGGCCTGCACTGACCCCGATCAAGCAGCTGATCCAGGTGAAAAACTACCTGACAAAAATAAAAATAGAAGCTTAATTCAGCCTAGTGGAGGAGGCTTTTTGTGGGTGAGAATGGGCAGCCAAGATCTGAGCAAGGCAATAGTTGTCTAAGCTGACTGACAACAAGCAAAAAAGGTGCCTGGCAGATTGCACATTAAAGCTGGCTGGGCTGTAATCTGCAGTGAACGGAGAGGGAGGAGGGAAGCGGCGAAAGAAGTGGCAGGAAGGAGAAGACTTGCAGCCGTCTGAAGCTCAGTGTCCTCCTGATGATTTTCTGTGGGGCAATTTATTTGCCCTACGTGAAGCACAAAGGCTTAGACTCCTCTGACTTCAGCAGCAGCCACCTGTGTCCCTGCTCCTTGAAGGTCATGAGGTGACACATAATTTACCTGGGGGATATAGAGAGCAAACCCCAGATACATTGCACTTGCATAAAAACTGCATAGTTAAGTAGTACTTTTAGCATATCACTATTCACAGTGACAAAAGCAAAATAGCAAAAATAACTGAGTGGATGTTTCTAGGGCAGCTAATATTATGGTGTTTTCTTGAAAGGCAATTTAGCCATGGCAACTTCGCATGGCTGGACACCGGACTTCCATAAATAATTAGTAGTGCAAATCTTCACCTTGCCTTTTATCTTTGTCACAGCGACCGGAAGGCGACCCAGTGCCATCTGTGATTCTAATCCATGCGTCACTAAAACCACAAGGTATGCTTTCCACGCTACTACTGTCCACCCCTCCACCCACCAGCATTGCCCATAAATCTGTTTTTTTCCAGAAAGGCTGGGACCCATTGGCAAAATCTGAAGCCTTGCCAAGTATTTGCTTGAAATATTAATATATTGTTAAAAAATAGAAGTTTTTGACAAAAGACGTATCAGACATTTCGAAGGAGTGTCTGGTGAGCTAGTGTATCTGGATAGTGTCTGCTGTGAGGGTGATGGAAGAAATTGGAGAACTGTCTTTTGCAGCAGAAAGCGGTTTTAGCAGTGACCCCGCTAGATCCCTCTATGCTGCTAGAAACTAACCTAAAACAGTTGTTATATTTGTTATTATTGTTTATAGTATTGATAATAATGATAATAATAGTACAAAGCAGAGCTACCAAATTCCAGAAGGATGCTGTGTATTCCAAAAAAAAGCAGGCCTGGGTACTCACTGCAGGCTCACTTGCCCCACAGCTTTACCTGTTTTTTTGCTTTGTTGTACAATGCATGATTCCTAAAAGTGGCTACATATTAGAAAACAAACAGAAAAACCCGAAAAACCCACTGCATATGTTTTAAGATCCATTGAAAGGTCTATACAGGCTATGAAAACATGTGCAGTCCAAATAGCAAAATAATAATTAAAAAACGACCCTGACGATCTACACCAACAGCTCTTCCTTGAATACAGAGTGACAATTCTAAATAAAGCTGGTGATGTTGCTTAGGGCAGGGGCTTTTGGAGGCATGGCGCTATGGAAAAATACCCATTCCTTAAGGGATTGACATTGGTTCCATAGATACCTTGCATGTTTAGCTATTACCATAGGCTGACACAGTGTTTTCATTCTGAAGTTTATTTAGGCACCCAAAATTATTTAACATCATGAAATATTTATCTGTGTGTGACCCCACACAATGCTGCCAGTTTCTTAGGGAGGTCACAAAACTCCGGGGAATAAATTGCAAAACCTTTGCTCTACTCAGTAAAATTATTTTTATATTTTTCTACCTCTGCCACAATGATGCAGGTATAGTTAATCTTGCCACAAAGCAATTGCCATTGCTTTGTCTAAAATGGCCAACAATAATGCCACAGTCAGAGGAAGAGGATAATGATTCCTCTGCCACACAATGCAGAGTTTGCAACAGACCAGGCTCTGGCAAAATGGATGAGGGAAGATATAAGGTGACTGAGGACAAACTTTAGTCCAGACATTCATTTTTTTGTGTGCAGTGGTACGTGTGTATGTGAAGCTTTCAGAATAACCAGTACCAAGAAGAGAATTTTTGGTAAACATGGAAAAAATCTCTCTTCTTACTTGTCTTTAATTGTAGCACACCTGTTCCCTGCTTTTTACCAAGGTTCAAAGTGTTCACCTGGGGAGCAGCACAGTCCCTGCCTGCGGTGCAGCTCCATGGCCTTGCTCTCCAAGCACCTGCGGCACAGCTGGCCAGCTGTCCTTCACCCCTTTTGTCTTTACCTCACCAAGCAGAGAGAAAGACCCTTAAAAGAGCTGTATTCAGAATCATCCTGGTACAACACAGATACGCACAGAGCAGAGTACTCACGTTATCCTCTGTCAAGGACCTTCATTCACAGGGCCACCCAGGGCATGTGCACCCCCAACTAAGCTGTCCAACCAAAACCTTCCTGATGGCAGTAGGCATCACAGATCTTTGTGGGCTGAACTTCCTCAATCATTCTTTCCTTCTCAAAGCTGCATCTGGGCTGTGCCTGGTAATCAGAGGCAGTAGAGGTTAACACGATCCTACCTGTGCATAGACTGCTGCAAGAAAAAAACAAAATAACCTATTTTGCATGCCAATGGCTAGAGATGGCAAAAAACCACAGCAGGAAAGTCTTGGGCCAGGCATGAGTAAAAGGACCTAAGCACCTCAGGTAGATTGATGAATACTGCATAGGTGCTGTAGGTGTTTAGGAACAAGCTGACATTTTTTTCAGAACATCTATCAGAAGTGAAGTATCTGTGGTTGACCCTGCCCAGGGGCAAAGGATCCAGCCCTGTTTTTCTGTTTCTATCTCTATAATATCCACTGAGTCTCACAGTCAGCAGGAGGAAAGCTGGAAGGAACCACAGAGACTCTGAATTTCTCGGCAAACTGTAACATGTCAGAAAATTTAATGAAAAAAAAAAAGCTTTGGAGAAATGCAAAGAGTATCAGAAATTTAAATTTTGAAACTTGTCTGTGGCATCATTTCTATAAAAATTAAGCTACTATAATAAGAACTGGCTTGACGTGGGGTTTCCCTTGTAGTGATAGGATTTTCATTTTCTGTAGAAAACGGCGCAAAGCGAGAACAGGGCTCTGTTTTTTGCTACATGCTTCAGTACCTCTGTGAAAGGGTCTGGTGAAAGGCTTTGGTAAACCTTTTCCTATACTGTGCCCCATACAAACTATATCAAACAAAGCTTATTTGCTGACTGGGAAGTCTTTAGCCTTTGCCTCAGTCATTTGCGAAGTAAACTCTGGGAAGCAGCTTCTCTGATTTAAAATTAACTCAGAGTAGCTCAAATGACTCAGTGGATGATTTCAAACAATTCACACCGTCTCGTCTGAACCTCTACCATCTTATTTGCATGTATTTGGGGCTACTTTTATAAAATAAACGGATTCTTATCTGTCCTCTTTCATAGCCTCGGTGTAAGGGCTACAGGCAGACCTGTAGACACTCAGGTCTGCAGTTTGCCCATCTATGGCATCAGCCACAGTTTCATCTGTTAGGCTGCCACAGGCACAAATATTTACCTATGTAAGGTGAAAATTTGCTATCTAAGATTATTTGCATATTAGAGAATAAAAGCTACACTTTAGCTTAAAGATTGCCGGTTTAAAACGCAAATGGCCTGGGCCAAACGGATAGTGCGGTGAATACTTGCAGAAATTAGGCTGAGTTCTTTGGCCAGTCCTGAGGAAGACCTTGCATTATCTGCGGAGTCACCGCCACAGGGGTCTGTGTGAAACTACACAGCCATGGCGTAATTTCTCCTTTCTGCTTACTCGCTCCTCCTTTGAAAGGAAGACAAGAGGTTCAACTGTCCCGTTGCTGTTCTAATATGCTGGTTAAACGTGGGAAGGGAGATGACTACTCTTACAGCAGTGTAGTGCAACATTGAGAAGGGGCTTATGTTTTCACCTTAAGGGTAAGGCAGGATGCTCGTATTCATTTCTAGCCTGTATTCAGGGACGTTGAAGTCCTTCGAAAACTTTCCAGTGATGTCAATGATCATAACTTAAAACTACTCAGCAGCCTATTTTCCACCTCTGGTTTCTGGAACTTTCCCCCACGCAAGCTGAAGGGAGAAAAATTAAATGGACTTTCCCCCCTACAAAGATCCAGGAAAATAGTTCAGGCAGACAGAAGCAGCATCCTTTTTTCCCCTTTCTTCTTTTTTTTTTCTTTCTTCTTTCTTTTCTTTTTTCTTTTTTTTCTTCCTTTTTTTTTTTTTTTCTATAGCAGCTCATAATCTGAGGCCTGGATTATTTTTAATGTTACATTCTTCTTGTTGTTGTTATTTCTAAGGAGAACAGCCTGTCAGAGCTTTGGTTGTAGGGTCTGCCAGATAACTAAAATGGAGCATCCGGAGTTTCTGCAGAGAAATGGTATTAATGGCCTAACTGGCAGTCTGGGCTCCCAAAGGGTCGGGGAAAGAAAAGGTCACTGAGGAAGGAGGAGAGCACAGAGCTGCTCTCGGCTGTCCTCTCTCCAGAGGAGCGTTTGTCCAAAGGTGTTGTTGAGCGCACAAGGCGTTCGGCAACCTATGCAGCGGCTAGGTTGTAGCCGATAAGGATGTAACTACTGAGCTATAAGTGGGCCCATATATTCAGCAGTAGAGTTTACAAGCTCTTCATGACCCTCATGGCTATCCCACTGGTTAAGGAGAAAGTTTTAGGGCAGACAGTGGTTTGCTCCTCTAGATCTTGGCTATTGCGAGCCCTATGGTTGTTTAGTTTGGGCCTGGTCCAAAGTAAGTCTTCACGCTTTGATTTGTGTTTTGACTGAATTAAGCTTTGTTTTTCCATTTTGAAGAGGCCCCAGGGAGCAGGCTCCAGGTGCGAAAGCCATATCAATCAATCAGGCTGCTAATGTTTTACAAGTATCAGGGTGGTTTCCTTTCGCATCGTTTTGGTTTAGGAGTACATAGATACAACAAATAGAAAAACAAATGCTAAAAATACCTTCAAAACAGTTGGAAATATCCAGATTTTTAGGTTTTACTATTTAGCTTAAGCAGCCTTTTTCTTATGATCCTGCTTTGGAACTGATAGTATACAATCTGCCATTCAAATAAAATGAGTTTTCATATCTTACCACGTTGAAGACAAAATGCCTTTTTATGGCCTTTCTATTAATTGGCTGCACTAAGCTCTGATCCGTTGGCAGAGCCTCTTTTTTTCCCACTGTCAGCCAAAGCACCAACCGTTATAGTCTTTTATTCAAAGTTTGTCAATAAGGGACAAGCTAGCATAAAGGGGCTGCTTTTTCCCCACCAATGGACCACTCCCAGCCGTGCCAGGCAGATGTTGCTAGGAATAGGTGGAAACAGTGAGTCACCACAGTATTACTGAAGCTGCTAGCAGGAAGGAGCAGAAAGCTATTGCTATAGACCTGTCACAGATTTCTTCACTGCTAGAAGAAAGTACAAAACCTAGAGGTAATGACAGGTAGCCCCTCACCTAGGATGTAGCTCATTGCTAAGCCCTGCAGTTTTTTCGGAGGCAGAGATCGTTCTGCATCTGACATGATGCTCCCATACAACTCTCCACTTTCTTACAGGAGAATCCTCAGTGAGAATGATATGCCAATAAAAATAATGTCCTTAAAAAAAAGAAGCCATCTGTGTATATATAAAAATGGCCAAGGCCTCCTTAGTCAAAGCCTCAGCCTCTAAGCCTCTTCATGATCTCGATTTTGCCAACAGCAAGTCCAGCTCTTGTGCTTTCTCTCTTTCATATGGCTTTGCTCAAGCAGTATCAAGTGCTGGCTTGGTTAATACCAATAGCGTATATAAAGGGAAATACATACAATCATACGAGAGAGTAGAGAATGATCTGGAGCATGCCCTTGGATGCCCATTTTAAAATAAACCTTTGGAGTTCAAATTCTTCACAAGTCCATGACAGGACTAGCCTAGTGCCATAATCTCTCAGTATTTGTCAGCTTGGATCTCGCTGAACATCAGCCTTCCTAGTCTTACACTGCAAGCTGACTCATTATTCCAAATTAATGTTGTGCTCATATTTTCCACGCTGTTTCAATACTACACTCAGACTTTTTAAACCGATCATTTAATTAAATTATGGCAACTGATGTTACTTCAATTCCTGCAGTACATGAGGAGGGGATGCCAAGGATGCATGTGACACTTGAGCTTTCAGGGAAAAGGACAGCCTCCGTTCTGTGGGAAGATGAAACTTTTCAGGGGACTGAATTTCCTCAGCATCTGAATTCTGTAAAAATTATACTCCTTTCATACCTTTTGAGTTGACACTCCAAGATGCAAGGCATCAAAATCACTTGCAGAAACCTTGTCTTACACATTCAAGGAGAACTGGGAATGCAGCTATTCCTCTGAACAGCTTAGACAGCCTCCCTTGCTGCGGGGCATGCTGAGACAGCACAGCTGGCTGTGTGAAGCATTAGTTTGCCTTGGCTTTTACTAGCCACCCAAAGAGCAGTGTTGCTATGTGTTAGGTTACGTGATTAAAGGCTAATCACAGCAAATAGTAAGACCACTGAGGATCAGATGACCAGCGGAGGAACCCTAGCAACCTGATAATGGATCCCACTGAAATGGCTGCTCCCTAAGGCCATCAAAGGAGAAGGATTAGACCGTTCCTGGCTTGAAACCCTTCAAGATGTGCCAGCCAGAAAAACTCTCTCCCCAGACAACCGTGAAAACAAAAGGGAAATACTGCCTAAGCAGGCATAGGACTGGGATTATTGTGGGATGCAGGGGGAAGAGCATTGTGGGATGGTGTAAAACTTATTAAGGGGCGTTTTAAGGGCACTGTGGGAATGTGCAAGACTCATTAAGGGATCTTTATGGGAGGAACCAAAAGTTGGGAAATGGAGGAATCAGCTCCATTGAACTGGGGAAGAACAAGCATGAGAAAACAGAGGGGAAAAGGAGATAAAAGCACCTGGTCAAATGTAAACAGGTTGTGGTCAGTGCACTTTCTTAACTGAGCCCTGTGCTTGATCACTGCAATCTATCCTATATTCTTGTTAAATCCTGTTTCTAACTAGCTGCTGTGTGGATGCACTCTCTATTCTGAGTGGTTTTGAGTCTTGCTAGCAAGACTCAAACCGGACTGGTAGAATAAGAGGTCTGAGTACCAGCAACCAGAGTGGGACCATGAACTTCTGGGGCTCATAGGTCCAGATGCCAGCAGTTGGAGGAATGGGGCATGTAGGTGCCATCTACAGGATAAACTGAGTGCCTATGACCAGCTACTGGAGTGACCCATATATTGTGTATATTATTCCACTAACGGATTTCAATCCTGATCATCTGGAGAGGAGAAATGGCATCAGGCTGTCCACGCCGTTCATGCTGATGTGAGTGCTGCATGTATTTGTGTGTGTGTGCTAGTAAAGGTACTGTTTTTCCTTTGTGTTGATTTGTGTGACAGCGATGTGTGTAATGTGTTTGCATAGTGTGTGTGTGCAGGCTGGACCCTGGAACACAGAGCCACAGCAGCCTTACGTCC